CACTGGACAGGATGAAGCACTGTAGATACAAAGATGAGAAGCAACAATTAGGGATCTCCATGGGCCCAAGAAGTATTGCAGACCAGAGCTGGGTGCTTTGGCTACCACAGGTGGTGCAAAACCATTGTAACAGAGCCTTAGAGAGCAGTTCCTGCCCTGAGTTGGTCTCCTGTGCTGGGCAGCGCTGCAGGGTTTGGTTGGATCACTCCAGTCATCAGTGGGGGGAAGTGGTCTGGTTTTGAGAGTCACTTAGGATTTATTTATGCTACCCCTAAACCAGCAACTTACCCACTGCTTAAAGGGTTAAGAAGCTGGTATTTTGGTATCTGGGTCAAATACATATCCATGCTGGCCATACGTGCATGTCCATACGTTTGTGTTGATAGGCAGTCTGTGATAAAGCATTCTTGCAGATAAGATGCTTTTCTATTTGAAGAAAATCTGTGGGAGTTCTGCCTCTGACAGAGTTGCAATGTAAAGTCCTATTTTAGCAAGGTTCTTCACTTAATTTAAGCTCAAACTCGAGTGTTTCCTGGAAAACTCTTTGCATATGTAGCTATCTAATTATGCTTCTTTCCCCCCTGTATTCCCTCTCCTGGGATACGTAAAGAGCTAGGAAAATAGAAGTGCAGTTTGGAGTGTTGGGAAATCTTGTTCTGAAGAGAAAGAAACTGAGATGAGAGGCTGTAGCCATTTCTGTTTCCAGTCTCTCCTGAAGCTATCAGGACATAACTATAACCTTCTGGGATTGTGGTTGTAGAGTCCAGGGAATTTTAAAACACCCTTATAGCTATGAATGTAAGTTAGAAATCAACAGCAAAATGTATTATTAGTGTTAGTTTTCAGGAAAGAAAAACTTTAAAGAGCTGGTGATTCTAATAAAAGATGTTAGGGCATTTGTTGTACTGTGCAGAGCACACACCAACTGGGATTTTGGGGTTAAGAGCTGCACTTAAATACACCATCCACAGTGGAAAGGAGCTCTCACTGAGGTTGGCAGCAGTGTGGCTGAGTTGCCTCTTTAAATTTACATTATTCTTATGATTTCCAGCAAAATCTTAACAGGAGGAAGTTTTGGAAGTCTGATTGAAATCTGTGTTTATCTTTCTGTCCACAGAATCTTGGTTTCTAACAAAATATCATTACCGTGCCTTTGTTCATGAAAATTGCAGGAATACCTTAAGCTTTTTTAATTATTATTATTTTATTTTAGGTTTCTGACTTCTTTTTTTTTCCCCCTATTTTCTCATTTTGTTTCAGGTTGATTTAAGGTATGGTTTTCTTTGATAATTTTCTCAAGACAGCAGAACCAAACAGAGAAGGTTTTTTTACCAAATGAGCAGACAGTCCTCTGACCAGCTCTAGCCTTAATCTGACCTGACTAAATTTGATTTTTAATAGATTCTAAAGATCTTTGGCTGCCAATGCCATCCTTGTGAGCAGGCAAATACGGAAGAGGTGACAAGTTCCATCTCCCTCTGGGAATGTCAACCCTTGAGGCACAGAAGTGTCCCATCCAAAACACTGGTTTTCCTGACCTGGTTCCAGGGTCAGTCCTTGAGCTGAAGCTGCTTCTGGACTTCAGTGGAGGAGAAAAAAAACAAGCTGCCCCTCAGGCCTTTTGACTGAAAGAGTCAAAAAGATACTCCTCTGTCAGAAAGCATCAAAATGTTTTGATGTTTTCTGACATCAGTTAATGCCAGAAATGATTACCCTACAAAGTGAACTCTGAGCTATGTGGGTATGGCCAATGTCCTGCTCTTTATTGGGCATCCCATGGACGTGTTCCCAAACCTGACAGAACTTCAGCAGCTCAGGTGTTCCAAAAGTTACTGTAATCAATAGTAAATAGGCATAATTCTTCTGAATATCTGCTAAATTTGGTCTTGCTGCTTGGTTGGTGGTTTTTTTTATTTTTCCATGTGCTTTCCTATCATCTCCACAGGGAAACTCACTGACATTTTAAAAGGCCTTTGATTCATAGAGCTTTGATAGTCTTCAAGATGTTGATAAAGAATATTTTGCTCATCTCCTTAGGAGTGTCTGCAGCTAATTGTGGTAATAAGGGAGCAGAGCTGTTCATGTGGAGAGGTTAACAGTGTGCTTTGGTACCCTGAGTTTGAGAACTTCACATCTAAGGACTAAATAATATGACCTGGATCATCAGCTAAGGGATAAGTTGTTCTTAGCAAGTGCATCTGTCACCCTAAAAGGGCAAATACACGCATGGCAGGGGTCAAAAAGGCTGTGGATCACATTGGTATCAAAATTATTCTTTTTCAGTGAACTTGAAAATAAAAAAAATTTTTAAAAATATATTAATAAAATATCTATATTAAGTCTGTGGAGCACCCAGCAGGTTGCACTGAGAGAGCCCAGGACACGGTGTGTGCCCTCTGTCAGCAGGTGCTGGATGAGGACAGGAGAATGCGTTGCTGGAAAGGACTCTCTGCTTCAAACTTGGTCAGACAAGTCTTGAACAGACTAGAGGAGTTCAGCGTTTGAGTCATTCAAACCCGGCAGCCCAAAAGGGATGGGCTGTCTAATTTCTTGCCTTTAAAACCTGGAGAAAACGTCTTTGATTTGGAAAACCAAATTCATAGTCGCACTTACTTGATTTGCCACTTACTCTGCACGTCTAGAAACCTTCCTGAGCCAGTCCCAGATAACTCCCCTTTTGATGAATTTGCTTTGAAAAAGCGTCCCATTTCAAATATGTTTCTTTTCTTTCCCTCTGGTGCGTGCCTAATGCCTCTCTCCCTCAGTCTGACTGGAGGCTGATTCATCACTGACACATCCTGTGGTTGACTGTAAACACGAAAAGAAGAAGGTTATCAGCTCTCCTCCTTTGTTGGTGTGATTGCCGTCCATCATCGGGAGGGAAACTGTGAGCCAGAGGTTCAGCCAGGGAGAGGAGGAGAGGAATGACAATTCCCTGGAAGAGAGTGAAGCCAGATAGACAACCCTGCTCCTTTGAGCTCACAGAGGACGGTGCCGTTCCCAGACAGGCCCTTGAGCGGACACATTTATCTGTCTGACTCTGGGGAGAGTGAAGAGTAGATGAATTCTCATCTCCCACAGACATAAAACAAAGCTTTGGAACTTCCAGCCTGTAAATAAAAAAGGAAAGTAACCCATCTAGTAATACACCAACTTGGCAACTTCAGGGCATTTCTGGTGCTCTTCTCCCACATCTAAATGAGACCCTTTTTTTTTGACTCCTCATCTCTGGAACACAACTACTGTTTTTATATCCCTCTCGTGTTTTTCTCTTCCGTGAAAGCCTGTGATTAACTTGTTTACCCATGAAACTGTCTTTGTCTGGGAGCACAATCCTATTCCTTCCTCACAGAGCCCTGAAACGGGATCATTCTCTCTGTTTTCCCGCAACACTTGCCATCATACCCAGTATTTAGGAGCTTTATAAGACAGCCTTGTGCTTTCTTTGCAGTTTCTTTGCATCATCCTCCAAAATGCTTTCCTGACCCTGGTGAGGTACTTGGTGAACATACCCTTAAACTCCACTGCCCACAAGCAGCTGTGTCACAGTCAGGAGATGACCTTTAGACTGAGGTCTGGTTGATACAGAATTTCCTCTGAGATCCATGAAAAAATGACACTTTTTATCATCTTGGTACCCTCTTACCTTAAATTTAATTTGTATCAGTTGGTGGAAATTTAGATACTTATTCAAGAAGTACCATAAACACTAAACATGCAGCCAGTGGAGGGAAAAGATTCATGGGAGAGCGAAACTTAAACTGCAGGATATTTTTGTGTCACTTTTGAAATAATTTGAGCTCTACACAGAGTCTCTTCCCGTGGGGGTTCTGTTTGCTGCCATTTGCCAGTATTTGCACGAGACTGAAAAATCTTGCCTTTTAGGAAACCTGAGCTTTCAGATTATACTGTGTCTTTTCAAAGGATTGAATGCAGCCACACAGGGCATCTTTTCATCTCTCTCTACCTTTATAAACTTCATCCTGAGGCCAAGGAGCAAGTGGTTTTCTCAGCTTGAGAAACACCGAGTGCATTTCTTGGAAAAGCTGCAGCCTGATAGGAATGGAACCGAGTTGAGTCACAAAGTAACCTGAAATTTTTACTCAAACCCTCGTGTTGCCAGTGAAGCTGTGAGGTTCAGCCTGTTAACAGGTGATAAAAGTATTTTAATTTATCTTTCCTTCACAGAAATGTTGTGCAGTCATTTCTGTATCAAGCACTGGAACAGGGTGCCCAGGGAAGGGGTTGAGTCACCGTCCTCGGAGGGATTTAATAGACCATGTGGGGCTTGGGGACGTGGTTTAGTGATGGGGGGAGAGGTGGGCTCAATGACCTTAAAGGTGTTTCCCAACCTGAATGATTCTACATTGGATATAAAATGTAAAAAAAAAAAAAGAAGAAGACTAAAACCTAAACCTAAATGGAATATATCTAATAATTTAAATAGTACATGCTGTTTTGAACATGAAAAAGAAAGAGGAGGTCACTAAAATTCCACCTTTTGTTTCATAGTGTTTAGGACAGTTAATTCCGGGAGTCTTCTTAACTCCTTAGGAAAAACCAAGTTCTTCTTTTTAGTTTTATCTAAAATCCACAAAAATCGCAGAGAATCTCTCTGCTGAGGCTGGTGGCCTCACAGGATAACACACATTGTGTTATCCTGACGAGCAGCACAGCTCGTGTGTGCTGAACTTCTGTGGCAAAATGACTGGAAATAGGAATGTGCAGCCATCAGCTGGGCAGCTCTTAGTCTGTGCAGTACCAAAGCTGAGCTCAGAGGCTTTGAAGGATTTACAGCAGTGATTTTCTTTCTATTCTGGGTTAATAACTTCAAATATTGTAATGAGTAATTAAGCGCATCAGAAGCAGGTACCATCACGTTAAAAATGTTCAAAACAACACAAATTTTCGAAATAGAAGTGATTGCCAAAATAACCACCTCTTTTGGTATAAGTATTTGCAAAAGATTTGTAATTATTTCCTCACGTGTTCACCTGCAGGATCCAAAGCTGCGCGAACTGTTGGATGCCGGGAACGCGGGAGGCCGGCTGGAAAATCGGATGATCACCGTTGTCTATGGGCCAGACCTGGTCAACATATCCTACTTGAACCTGGTGGCGTTCCAGGAGGATATAGCAAAGGTAATACACGCTCTGCAATCTTCTTTTTTTTCCCCATGAGTTCATTCAGCAAGGTTCAGGCCCCAGAATGAGTGCTCACCTTCCAGAACGTTGCCACAGAACCCAAGTAATCCTTGTGAAAATAATGGTACACAAATTTTTACTCCCAGCACCCATCAATCCATTTCAGTAATTATCACCCTTTTGTGCCTGTTCTAAGTGTGTGCAGATCATCTGCAAGAACTCAGTAGGTAAATGGTCTGACTTTCTGAGGTTGGCCTGTGCCAGAGTGGTGGGAATCTGCAGCTCTCCTTTTGTGCACTGGGGAGTGTCAGCAATCAGGCACCTCCTTCACCTCTGAGCACAGACGGAAACGTTCACCTGTGGAAGGTCATTTTTAAGCATCACATTCTGCCTCACTGATGGCCCCTGGTAAGGATTGTGTAGTCAACAGCACTACCTTAGCAAAGCATCTTTTCCATGCAGGGATCCAGTTCCTTCGCTTCTGTCCAACACACAACATGAAACACAGCTGTGTGTGCCAAGCAGGTTACAATTCATATTAGTTTGGGGTTGTTTTTTTTTCTCCTTCTTCCACTTTCTGTATGTTTCTATGCAATTTACTGAAGCGGGAGCTCTTTGCTTTATCTGTTTCGAACTGACATTCCAAATCTGCTCCTATTTCCACTTCCATCCCCGTGGGTACACTGATTCCCACCCCCAGATAACCATGCTCACAACACTCTTGGATATGTGCATTTTTGCACCCTTGAGTTCACCAGATTGTGCTAAGAAGAAAGATTCTCTGTAGCCTGCTGTGATTTAACAGCAGCGGGGAGTTGTTTTGTCACCTCACAGGCAGCAAGGACTGTGAGACCAGGTGCCAAAAGGTCATAGTGTGAAAGCCTTCAGCTAGGGGAGGATATTTTTGCTTGCCAAGTTTCTGTCTCTGCCAAACTTCTTTAGCCACTTGGTCAGCTTGGTAAAAAATCACAATTTTCGGTCTTGCTGTAGTATGAAAGAATAGAAACCAAATGAGTTTGTGGCGGTCCCTGGGCAGCTGAGCAGGGGGTGCTGTTCTCAGGCTTGGAAATGCAGAGCCACGCTCTGCAGGGGTGGGGGAGGAATCCTAACACTGAAAACGATGGAAACAACTCTTCAGGGAAAGAAAAAGGAGCTGAGCTTGTGATAGGAAGCAAAAAGGTGTGCTGAAGCTTTTCCAGCAGGAACTGTTAGCCCTTATCAGGGAACAGGGAAAATAACCCAAATCAGAAGTTGTATGTCCTCCTCCTGCACCTTCCTGGCCAGGCAGCTGCCAGTGAACCATAATCTATTTGCTAAAACAGCACAGAAATTGGTATTTTAGGACTATTTTCTGTTTGAGAATGGAACCTTAAAACACAGTAGATAAAATTGTGTTTAGTAAAAGCTTGGCTGCTCTAAATCTTGAGTAACTCCTAAGAGTCTAAGCCTTGCTTTTCATTTCTAGAGGCAGGAGAGCAAATAAGTGAATATTTGATCAGTTGGGCACTGTGGCCTGGGGGTGCAGTTTTCAAAGCATTGCAGATTAGCTGTGCTTGCTTTGAGGTCATGTTCAATATCCTGATTGTCTGAATGAAAACAGTTTTGATCACTGTTGAATGCAGCTAAAAATTCCTCTTTTCTTTTAACCTGTCTTCCAACTTCAAATGAGCCAGGCCACAGGCTCTGGTCCTTATTCTCTCCCAGACCCATGCAGTGACTCAGAGAAGCTGCAATAAATGAGCACATAAGGCACAAATCATCCCTTCAGGGAGCTCTGGGAAGGAATGTCAGTACAAGATGTTTTCAATGCCACACGTCCAATTTTGACCCTTCCTCCTTCTGACGTTCCAGGGAAAGCAAGTGCCAGTGGAAATCTCCCCCACCTTTCCTTTTCAGTGCATGAATATTTGGTTTTGTTAACCCTGCATTTGTGATACCTTATTTTTCAAGTTGTGTGGCTGGTGTTGACCAGGCAGAGTAAACTGTAGTGCTGTTAATGAGGCAGTTTAAATTATTCAGTTAGGGTTTTTTTTCCCCTTTACAGAGGACTTCCTTCTCTGCTACAAACTCTGTTTGCCACATCCACTGGCCAAATTATGGGAAAATTAGGAAAATACGAGTCCTGGGTTATTCAACTTCCCTCAGGTGCACTAGATAGGTGGAAATGAGACTCTGCTGGGCTAAGGTTTATTTGTGAGCATCCACACAGTGCTGCAGAAACCAGGATAAAGACAGGTTTATTCTCAAACCCTGTTCTGAGCAGGTGCTCTTTTTCTCTGTCCCCATTCCCAACCTATCAACCTCTGTCTGCTCTACAGTATTCCATTCTCTTCCCAAATCCAGTGGCTTTTTTTTCCCCATCTCTTTCCCTCTCTTTTGTGGCTCTCGTGCCAGCCCTGTTCTTGCTGCATGGCCAGTCCTGGCTGTACAGGCCCCTCTCCAGAGCCCAGGGAGATCTGGTTCTCCTCGGTTTGATAAGCTTTGGATGAAATCCATCCCCAGGAGCTGATGAATTCCTCCATGAGGAAAATGGTGTCATCAAAGATGATTCACCAGTCACACTATATTGTGCTTTCCAGCATACATCTTTATTTTTCTAGCTTCCCCAGATCAGTGGAATAAAATGCTGAAGCAAACCATATAAATTCACATCCACTTGATGTGTTTTTTTTTTAAATAAAATTCATAGGGAAATGAGAGTGTAGAATTTCAGCAGCTTGCTTTGTTAACCTCCCACCGAAAAGAACTGTGAGAGGAACATTGCCTTCACACATAGTCAGTTCTGATTTGAAGGAAGTGTTCTCAAGGCTCTGTGCTGTCTTTTCTTATGAAAAGGTCTCCTCTCTTGTGTTGTGCTCCGTGTCTTGGTTGGTGTCCTGATGCATGCAATGGAAGAGAGAAATCACTTCGCTCAGCAACACACCTACGATGAACTGCTGCTTATATTCCCCTGCCAGAGCACAGAGCAGCGACAGAACTCCTTAGTAAAGCTCTCAGGGGTGATGTAAAATGAATTAACAGGATGCAGCCAAGAGGGGATCGAGGTCGGGGAGCTCGTAATACGTGGATGGGACTTGCCTGGAGTTGGGTATCAGAAGGCTGGGTCCCTCCACTACCATACAGGATCAGAGCCTGGGTTTGTTGGCACTGGTGCATTCCTATTACAAAAAACTCCCAGATTTGTGTTTTCCTTTTGTGTTGTGTCTGTCCAGGAGTCTCCCACAGTGATCCAGGGGCTGTTTTAACCTCTCTGCTTTAGGCTGTTTTCTTCCCCCCTACACCAGTTCCTACCCCTGGAGTGCTCCTGTGGAGTGGCTGCCACAGAGTCAGTCAGAGGGTGGGCTTTGCTCTCTTACCCTGCAGCAACCCCAAGGAAACAGGGCCATTTGGTGGCTAAAGCAGCAAGAGACACATCTTGGCTCACAGCTTGATCCAGGCCCATCAAAGGCAGGCCCAAGCATCTCCTTTATCTCCTTGGGTCTGTGCTCCAAGCTCTTGTTTCCTCTCCTGCCGAGGGTTCGCTGGAAAGATGATGTGACCCTTGGCAGGCTTGTCTGATCCTGCCTTTTTTGGCTGTGGCTCTGTGGTGGCTGGAATGACGACCCTGAAATGGGAGAGACAATGAGCAAGTGGTGCTTGTGACTCGTCACAGGTAGCCCTTAGAATGTCTGCGGAGAGCCAGGCAGAGCTGGGAAAGGGACATGTTGATACAAATAATGCATGTGACAGGCACATAATGAATGAGTTCCTTTTACATTCCTGTCAACAAGCACTCAGACAATGAGGAGGAAGAGCTGGGGGGTGGGATACTCCTGAAGTGCCCCGCTCCTGTTTTCTACCCGGTGTTTTGGTTTCTAAGCCGGCACGACCAGCGAGATCAAAACAAAAGTCTATCAAGATCTGTTGAAAGCCAACATATTTTCAATTTCCAAATAGTATTTTGTGTTGCCATTAATCTCTGTAGCCCTTAGTGTCAGAGGGAGAAGTTTGAGCTGCTATTATTAGGGCCTAAACAAAGCAGTGTTTACAAGACAAGCCTATTTTGAGCCTGGAAAAATGAGTTGCCAAGAAGAAAAACAGATGCTGCACTTAATATGCTTTCTGTTCCAAGAGTCACAGCGAAGCAGTTGTGTTACTCAGGGACCAGACTCCTCCTCCTCTGCTTTCTCACACCCCTGATTTCTTCAAATCAGACCTAAGAAGGAAAAAACAATTAAAGAAGGAAAATGGAAGTGGCCACGAGAAGCTGGAGGGGAGGGTTATCTCAGCAACGCTGGTTTGCCTCCAGAACAATTCTGCTTGATGTAGGGATGCTGCTTTGACTGGAAGTCAGTTATACTTATCATTGTCCTTTTTTTGTCAGAATGAAATCCCCCCCCCTTTGTTTTTTTTCATATTTCCTCAAGAAAAAGAAAAACCAAGGAGAAGGGAATACCTCTCAAAGAGTGTGAGAGAGGCTGTGTGGCAAAGGGAATTTTGGATTTGGGCTTTCATGAAAGGAAATGTGTTTTTAGTTTCAAAGCAAACTCGGAAAACTTCATTAAGTAAGGCAGTGTTTGCAAAGGCATTGCTTGTTCTCATCCCTTGGTTTTAAAAAGGTGAAATGAAGCCAATCCCAAAGCACAGCTGTGATTAAAGAGGTTTGCAATGAGAGGTTGTAAATAAGCACGGAGTTAGCAAGGAAAAACGTGCTGAAGTTGTCAATGAAAAGCTTCAGGAGAGACCTGCAAAGGAGGACAAGCAGTGAGAGCTTAAACTCCACAAAATAGTCCTGGCTCAGCCATGCTGGGAACACAGGAAAGGTCAGGGACCTGAGGGAAGCACTTCAGCAATGTGCACAGAAATGAGCAAATAAGTCAGGAGAATAAAGGGAGGGAAAGTGAGGGAGAGCCATGGGAAGAGCAGAGCCTGCAGGCAGAGATGGGAAGTTTCTGGTGAGCAGCTGGAGGACAGATGATCAAAGGGCTGGAACACCTTCCCTATGGAGACAGGCTGAGAGAGCTGGGGCTGTTCAGCCTGGAGAAGAGGAGGATCCAGGTGCGACCTTCTGGCACCTTCCAGTACCTTCCAGGGGCTCCAGGAGAGCTGGAGAGGGGCTTTGAGCGAGGGTGTGTAGGGACAGGACAAGGGGGGATGGCTTTAAACTGTCAGAGGGCAGGGTTAGATCAGCTGTTGGGAAGATATTCTTCCCTGTGAGGGTGTGAGGCCCTGGCACAGGTTGCCCAGAGAAACCGTGGCTGTTCCATCCCTGGAAGTGTCCAAGGCCAGGCTGGACGGGGCCCTGAGCAACCTGGTCTGGTGGAAGGTTCTGCAGGTGGAACCAGGTGCTCTTGATGGTCCTTTCCAACCCAAACAACTCTGTGATCCCGTGACATTTATTCCCTACATCAGGGTAAAAATAGGGAAAAATAACCTACTGAGGGATAGGATCGCTGTAAGGATGTACAGTAGGGGGAAAGAGCAGCTCTGTTTGGAGTTGCACCTTCCTTGCACATCAGAGTAATTCAGAAGTATTCCTACACATTTCTGCTGGTTGGGGTTTTCTCAAGCTTGTTTTCTCGTGTTGGATGGTAAGATCTTGGATCAAGTGAGTCCTTTAATTTGTTACAGTCTTCATTTTCTTGCAGCACGAGCAAATCGGGTCTCTCCGACAAGGAGGGGAAGCCGTAATTGGAAAAATCCAGTTCAGACTTTTAATGAGGCGCTTTTTACCGACAGGACGGTTTCCAAAAATATATTGCACTGTGCAAGTAAACATCCCAACTAAGCCTCACTTAACCGTGTTTTCCCTCTGTAGGAATGGTCGGATGAAGTGTTCAGTTTGGCAACAAATCTGCTGGCACAGAACATGTCAAGGGACGCGTTTCTGGAAAAAGCGTAAGTGGCCATCGAGTCTAAAGCCGTGGGTGTTGCTCTTTTCCCTGCGTCATTGTCCTCCTCCTTTGTTAGTCACATTGTCAGCTATTGTTTCTGCTTTGATGGCTCCACACTTCTGTAAACACAGCCGTCCTTTCTTGTGGTTTTAGAAAGCCTGCTATCTAGGGGTCGTTTAAACAGAAATCTCCTTAGGGCTCTTCTTGCAAGCTACTAAATCCTTGCAGGAAAAACAGAATTAAATGCTGTCCTCCCCCTGTATAGATGAGTTGTTGCTTCAGCTGTAGCATGAAGCTCTCTATTCAAAATGAAAGAATATTCTGGACTCACTTGTTTCTGGTTTATTTTCCTTTTTTCTGCCACTGATTAAAGATGTGAGAAATGCCAGAAGTCCATTTTCCTCTGTCTGATCTCTCTGGGTTGCATGGGGTTCAGAGGGAAGCTGGGAAGGAGTTCATTCATCTGGGTGGCTTGGCAGAGTGTGCAGATTAGGAGTTGCTGTCAACAAAGTAGAAAAGCTGTTTATGAGAATGTTTGGGGTGGAACACAGGCCTGAAAGGAGAGAGAGCTAAATCTGAGATAAGTTATTCTCAGCTGATGATCAGTGCACGGGCTGAGGGAGTTTTGTGGAAGTGATGGCTTTGAGAACAGCTTGGCAGAGCCTGCCAGAAAGTGCTGGTGCTGAACTGGGGTACTTGCTGGCCCTTTGGGGTTCTAAAAGAAGAGATGAACCCTCCCCTATGAGTTGATTGATTAAAGTCAGCTTAGGGTCTCCCCCAAACATCTTTTAATTTCTGCCTGCAGGCAGAGGCTCAGTTCAGCTAAATACTACGCTGGGCCTTAGGTTCCTAAAACAGCCTCCATCCAGAAAAGAAGTTAACCCACCCTTTTCCCAGCCTTTCTGAGGCTGTGCATGCTCAATTTCCTTAGGTGCATCCATACTTAACCAAAAAGTTCCCAAGTGCTTAACTCTAATCCCATATATTCATTCATAGGTGCATTTTCTGGGAAGGAGGGGGGTGTGGATATGTTTTCCTCTCACAAGGTTTACTGTGGTACAGCTGAAGTCAGCAGAAGTTCCTGAGAAAACTTTGAAGGCTGGACATTGCTGGAGCCACAGCTTTGTGTCTCCTGACACCGTGTCAGCCAGTGGCACATTAGGGAAACCAGAAAGAAATGGATGGAAACACTGAACGTTTCCTTTTGGCTCTGCACGTGTGCAGTGGAGAACCTGTTCCTCTGAGCCGGTGACTTCCCTCAGCTCCATAGGCTGTAGGTGGTGGATGAGTTTGGGGAGTGATTTGATACTGTTTCCTTGCCTCTTAGCACCCAAATTCCCAGGTGGCCAGTGGGCTCTGCTGGCAGGTCCGGAGTGGCAAGTGGCTGTGCCTAACGGGCCTTTTCCTGTCCAATCCCGAGGAGGAACGTGTTATCCCACGGTGCAGGAGGGCCAGTCTGACTTGGAGCTGTTCTTTGGCACTTGTTCAGGCAATATTAATTACAGATGAAGTCACTGGACACATTGCATAGATTCAGTAGCAGGCAAGCATGGCATTCCTGTGTCTTTTCCCACTAATTAATTAATCACTTGGAAACCGTAAGGTTTCCCAGGTCCTCTGCGCAGATGCCAAATCAGTCACTTAAGAAATCTCTGACTTTGAAGATTAAATTATTTCCCCATTATAATTATTGTACATAGCAAAGGGTTGGTTGCAGTCCTATCAGAATCCTTTGGTTGAAATAGAAAACCAGATTGCATTAGAGGAGAATTCAGGGGTGTTTTCTTTATGGCATTCAGTCCCTTGGAACGTTGGAGGTGCAATTATAAACAGCTTTCCTGGGGTTGGGTCAACTGGGAAAAAATAGGGTTGATTTGGGAGGAAAGAAGTTGGTGGTTTTTTTTTTTTTTTATAGTTTTCTCCCATTTTCTGTTCTTTCTGGCTGTAGAGGAAGACACTGAATGGGTTCAATGTGTAGTCAAATTTTTCAAAAAATAGAAGACAAAATGAAAGAAACCTTTTTGGATTATTTTATTTTATTTTATTTTGGGCTAACTGCTGTGACTCTTTTGTTTTTAATCCAGCCCAGTACTGGGAAATGGGGCAGAGGGGATAATATTTTTGTTTGGTGACACAGTAGCACAAAACACTTCAGTTCCCAAAAGATGCCCATGGAGAGTCAAGGATTTGTGAAAATATTCCTATGGGGTATTAGCATGCACTTTGTTTTTGAAGTGGTTGCTAATGGCATTTTCTGCTGTGAAGAAAAGGAAAGTTTATAAGAACCATGCAGTTTCTTCTTCTTTTAGTAGACCAGTGGGCAAAGTGAAAAAGTGGGGGTTTTTAACAACAACAACAAAAAAATCCTCTTAACTGTTTTAAGGGTTGCCATATTTTTCACCAGGTCATGTTACTACCAAAAAATCATTTACGGTTTTAATTCTGCCCAAGTGTGAGAGCTGAAGCACTCAGAAAGTTGTGCTCCTCACAGGCTGCTGGTGGGCACTGAACTGGTAACCACAGTAGTCCTTACATCAGGTAGTGGTTGCTTCTCATGGAAATTACTGGGTGACTTCTGATTGAACTGATTCAAAGCCTGCTGAAGAATCTGGGCGAAGATAGACCCGTCCTCATCCTACCCCCTCAATGAGACGGGAGAGAAGGAGAAGGGTTTTGCTCATTGATGATGTCCTAGAAAGTTCATTTGGGGAAAAAGAGCCAAGTGGCACTTCCCACATGAGCAGGGCACTGGCACTGAACTGGAGAGCTGGTGGAGAGATCCTTGGAAATGGTGTAAAACTGACCTGGGATGCTTTTGTCTCCACAGTTACACAAAACTGAAGCTGCAGGTGACTCCAGAGGGGCGCATTCCCCTGAAGAAGTAAGTGCTGTTCCCCTGCCTTACCATGTGCAGTCTCTGCTGACTTTTGAGCGTGAATATATGTTTGGGATGAGCATGTGGCCCCTATGTGTAGAAAAATGACTCTTCCATCTGTTTAGGATGCATCACAGGTCATGCGTGGTATCGCAGTGATACTCAGGATGTCTCTGCTCAAATACCCTTTGGGCGTAGATTGGGATCTTGAGCGAGACATTCCACTTCTCTGCCTTTGTTCATTCCACTTGTGAAATGAAAAAAAAAAAACAACACCATAATTTCTTTACCTCAGAGACATGTCGTGAGGGTGAATAGATTCCAGCTGCATGTCACTGGGGTGATATGAAGAGAGCAGGGGTGACTTTCTCGGGTCACTGTCTGCTGTGATAGGGGCTGGTGGGGGCACCATTAAACTCACCTCTGTTACTGGGCAGCCTGAGCTAAAGATGTGATAGACTGGTAAGAGATATTCAGTGTTGAAGCCATATGGGCGTGTCAAGGCACGTCTTTAACCAGCTCTCTCCGTTTTGTCTCCGTTTTGCAGCATTTACCGCTTGTTCTCCTCTGACAGAAAGCGGGTGGAGACGGCGTTGGAAGCCTGTAATCTTCCATCTTCCAGGGTGAGCATCTGCATTTATTCACATGAGCATTGCTCATATTTGGAGGTGTTTGCTCTCCACTGACAGTTTGTTCAAGGCTGATCGTGCTGTGCTGGCTCTGCTGCTGGAAGGATCCTCAGCAGCGGGTCTGTCTTCCCCACACAGAAGTTCCTGATACCCATCTGCACACCTGAGTACCTTTGACTTGAAGCTGTGTAGGGACCAGGAGCTCCTGGAAGAGGTATGAATGGAGTAAAAGGAAGGGCAGAGGTTGTGTGACCTGTCCTGGAGAAATCCTGTGAGGGTATTTTAAGAATCAGTGGCTGTTGCCCAATTTTCACGGCATGATTTCAGAGCAGTGTTAGCTGGAGGTGTAGCTAATGGTGTCATCTAATGCCTGAGAGAAGTGACTGGCCACACTCACTGTAGCTTATCTAAAAGGAGCATGAAGTAAGTGCTGAAATGCTGTTAATGCTGTGGGGATGCAGCCCTTGTATCCTGCTAATCCAGGAGCTCTCCTCAGCCCAGACCAGGATGGTGCCTCACCCTCAAGGCTTTTTTTTTTTTTTTTTCCCCAAAAGGAATGAGCTGGAGCAGGTGATTCCAGTTAATGCTGGAGTGCAGATGTCCTTAGTCACAGAATCACAGAATGGGTAAGGTTGGAAGGGACCAGAGAGGGGCACCTAGTCCTGCCCCCCTGTTCAAGCAGGGTTTTCCTCACAGGTGGAGATTCTCCCCCAAGCAGCTTCCTGCAGGATAATTCCTATGTTCTGGGCTCCAGGAGCTGGGGCAGAACTGGTCTGTCAGGAGAACCTGCATCTCCTGATCCCTTGCTCTTGTAGAAAGCCATGTGCTGTGAGGTTTCCTGGATGTTTGCTTCCCCAGCTGTTAAATAAAGCCAGTTCCTGCAGCTCCAGAAGAGCAACGGAGCAAAATCTTCACAAGCCAATGAGACCTTCCTTCGTACATTTGGGAGCTTAATTCCATAAAATTCCAAGGAATGTTTGCAAAGTAGGTATAAAATATTAAAATCATCTTATCTAGAGTTAAATTGTGAGGTTTAGAAACATGGAAAGAATAATTTTAAAGGTGGGTTTTCATTTAATTGTTAGCAAACGGGATACGAGATATGCAAAGAAACCTCTGAGGCGCTGCTTTTTAAATCAGTTGATTTATTACTTCTGTTTATTACATCTCTCTGAAAAGAAAATCTAAATATCACTGGAGGCCTTGAAAGAAACTGCAGCCTTTTTGTGCTGTTTATTTAAGTAGGGCCAATTTCACAAACACATTGCTGGCTACTTGTTGCTGGGATACCATCTCGGAAATTATTCAGAGTATAAAGTAGATCTTTTCTTTGGTCGGGACAAAAGAGAAACGTTCTGCATGCAGCAAAGAAAGCTGTGTTGGTCATCTTTGAAAAATATTGCAGAAGTGTGAAACTGAATCTCATGGAGGTGATGGAATAGAAGAAAGTCAGAACTTCAACTGCAGCTCTTTACTTGCTCAAATAAACAGGAACCCAAAGGAAAAGATCTTAGTTTTGACTTGCAGCTTTTCTGCCCTGTTATACTGCAGGACAACAAAGCCTTGGAAGAGCAGTGCACTCCCCAGCATGCCAGATGTGGATATCAGGGGGTTTGCTTTTTGTTATTGTTGGTTATTTTTGTTTGCTTTGGTTAAAAGTGCCTTCAGCAGCATTCGAAGAGCTTTGTTTTAGCTGCCTTTTTGGCTGTGAGGACTGGTTTCTGCCTTGCAGTTAATGTAGGGGTTCACAATGAGGCACCAGTGAGCTTGACCATTAAAATAAAATAACCAGCTGTTGAGTCCTGTCTGTGCAAATAATTGGAATTAGCTCTCAGACATGTAAGAGACTGGATACAGATGTTGTTGCACAAGCGGGCAGGTTACCAGACAAATCCTAAATCAGCAGTGCTTGAAATGAGAGGGGAGTCTTAATCAGAGAATAACATTGAATGCCAATGTTAAGCAAAGCTGGAAACGAGGGGTGCTCCCATGTGGTGCTGCAAGTTTGTGCTTTGTTCACTGGTCTCAAAAAAGAGAGGAGCCCATAAGGTGTGTGGGTGGTTCCTCTGAAACATGGATGGCTCAGACCAGGCTGAGGAAGGGGGCACTGTATTTTAATCCCTCTCAGCAGACGGGCTTGGGGAATCCAAATATAGTTGCCTGAGGTTGTGCCTGGGGTGGCAAAAGCTTTCATCTCCCATCTAGATAATTGTGGTTTGTAGCCCACTGATGATGGTGCTGGTAGGAAGTAGTTTTAAAAACTATCTGCACTTATGCCTGAAGGCTCGTGTTGGTTTTCCTCTTTGTAGGAGGCCTTTGGAGATACAGGGAGGGAAACTGAGGGGTATTTTCTTAATTGGAACCGAGTGGCAAATCAAAGCCTGGATCTCAGGTTATGGGAGGAGACCCACATTTGCTCAGCTGAGCACCTTCAAATCGCCTGCAAAGAAAAAACATATAGTAGGTTGATGGGAGACTGTAGTTCTGTGGTGATCAGAGAATCAATGTTTAAAATGTCCTGACTGAGGGGTTATGGGCAGAGGGAACAGGGGAGAGCGGGGTGCCAGCTTTAACAAGAAAATTCCCAAGCTGTGAGAATCCTGGCCTTCAGGAGAGCACAGGTCTCAGCAGTCCAGCCCTCAGCCAGACGCAGCACGGCTCAAATTCTTCAGAGTGCAGCTTCACACGCAGCTCAGTGGCACTGAAAGGAGCTATTTCCGTCCTCTAACCCATCCACCTCTGCACCACATTTAGCAGTGGTGCCGTTGGTGTAAGCTGGCTCAGGGAGCTGATCCCACCGGAAAATGCACAGGGTGGGTGGGTTTGGCCAGGTGGGGTTTGAACCAGTTCTCTGCAACCGCTTGCAGCCAAAAAGAAAGGAAGGCACCAGGTTGTGATGGCTGATGAGTGACCTTAGAGATGGGATCCCAGGCTGAGCCCAACTCAGTCTGAGCGTGAGATGGGTCAGGTTCAACCTGCACTGGTGGCCAGAAGCAGAGGACAGAACCCTCTGGAGCCTCTGCGGGTTTCGGGGATGAAAGGAGACAAAGCACCGCCTGTGCCGTTCGTTTATTTATTTTAACCTAAAGCAGGAAAAATCAAGACAAGTTTCCTTCCGTCCCACAAAGGCTTGAACTGCTGCTTCCTGTTCCCTTGGCAACGGCGTCAAACAGGCAGAATAAATAAAAGCACTGATTTCCCCGTGAGCAGCTTCACCTCTGACACAGCCAGGGGCCCATGGGGTGGCAGGGCAGGCAAACAGCTTTGTGTCCAACTTACGGTTTCCCTTCTCCAGGCCGTCAGATTTGGGCAGGTTTGGGGGCTGTGGAGAAGGCATCACGTGTCATAGCTCTGGATTAAGGATGCTCAAGCTTCATGCAAAAGACTTTTCAAGTCTCTCCAGTTAGGAACGGCAATTCAGGGTTTTTTTCACAGAAAAATAAAATGAGGATGATGAAAGCATCATCCAGAAGCAGGACTAAATTTAAGTTTTTCTTAATTTTAGAAAATGTAAGAAAAAGAACACCCTGAAATGTCCTCTATAGGAGAACATTTTTATCGATTCCTTTATAAAAAAATCTGATTGTCAAATGTGTTACACTGAGAGTTTAGGACAAAGATGTATGGAAAAACTGTGTGAGTCTTGCCCTTGAGTTGTGTGAGTTGTTTGCCTTGCTGAGGCACTTGGGCTCAGCACCCCTACCCAGCCACTCACTGTTCTTGGGACCAATACATTTCTTTATGCTGTAGATAAGGGGTTAGATGGGGAGATGTCCCTTCCTCCTCCTTGGCAGGTGCTCAGAGACAGAGGTAACTGTGCCTTGTGGAAGCTGATAGATGTGTTGGGGTGGCTTTTTTAAAGTTGCACACTCTAAACTGCTCTGCTATTCAGCAGGATTTATTATTCTGCAGGATCTGGGCTCGTTTTCATTTCTTTCCTGCACTCACCGAATAGTGAGTGATCTGTTTATAAAGAATGTATAAAAGTGCTGTATCTCTCTTTCACTCTTCCCCCCCCACCATTTCACAGAATGATTCGATCCCTCAAGATGACTTCACACCAGAAGTGTACAGAGTGTTCCTAAACAACCTCTGCCCTCGACCTGAGATCGACCACATCTTCTCTGAGTTGTAAGAAAAGACACTCATTTATTTATTTTTGTTTGCTTATTTTCCCCATTCACAGATTTTCTGGGCTGAGGGTGGTAGTTGGATTATTTAGACCATGGCAACACTCAGTGCTTGCCAGTAACAGAGTGAATTGTCAAGCAAGTTATTTAACCTCAGGTTCCTTCTGTCCCAGGCTTTTGCTCCGTTTCTAATGGCTGGAGTTTTAAAGGATTTGTTCCTAGAGGAGCAGAATTGCCAGGTCGTGGGTTTTTTCACACGGATCAGAGTAGTTTAGGCTTCCAACAAAGTAAAAGGAAGAAGAGTAATAAGCAGTAGCAGCATGCAATAGGCACGAGAATATGTATAATCACCCCCAAAAGCTTAATTAAGAGTTGCAAAAAAAAAAAAAAAGGCAGTAACTTTTAGGATTTGTGTACCATGAATTCACACCGTGAAATTAAATCAGCAGCTGGTTCTGACTGATTTCGTACATCCTGTGACAAGCTCTTTAACTCACGGCGCTTTACCCCTCACGCCAAACGCGTCCACTCCCCGGTTCCAAGAGGTCCTGATCAGTGCAGTCAGAGCATGAGGCGAGAGCAGAGAAAAGCAATTTCCCAAAAACATCCCAAGACCACCAAAACAATTAGTGGGCGCGTTTTTGCCAGGCTGCTACCCCGACCTTGTGCTTTGGGGCTTGTTTTTCTCTGCAGCGGAGGTTTCAGAGGAGCACAATCCTGCCCTGGTTTGCTCCTGCTGAACCCGGGGCAGGCTCTCCCTTGCAGAGAGAAAGGGAAATAGGCCAGTCCCGGGTGCCACACGCAGAGACAACCCCGGGCACATCACCTGGCCTGGAAGCTTCCTGGGTCTCCATCTGGGGACAGCTTGTACCCAGCTCTGCTCTTTTTACTGCCTCTCTAAACAGGCATCTTTCTGTTTGCTTTGCAGAGTGCCTCACTGTTTTTAGCAGGTTAGAGTAGTAAAAAAGACCCAAACAAATAAGAGAATAATGAATTCGGGGCTGCTGTCATTCGGCATTAAACCCAAACAGTTGGGCCAGGAAGGAGTGTTTGTGGCAAGCTCGGGATGGAATTCCAAGTTGTTTTCTCTTTTACTGTTTTAAATAGCTTAATTCCAGGAATTCAGAGGAATGAAAGGCTTTTAGCATTGCTCTAAGTCTTCCCATTGATGTCAGTAATGCTGAAGGTTTTTAAAGATCTTCCTGCTACAAGTTTGATGGAGAGTCATTGTCGTTACCTGCTGGCAAAGTAAATTAGCGCCGAGACACAGCGGGAGGATGTTTTTATTGTTTGATACTTTGAATCTTGTTTCAGTTTCCCTGGGAAGTTTCAGAACATTGAACAAGGTTTCAAGGAAATATATTTTAATACCGTTGCTGTTGCTTTAATTTTTCTCTAGTGGTGCCAAGAGCAAACCCTACCTTACTGTTGATCAGATGATGGACTTCATCAATTTGAAGCAGCGTGACCCACGGTTAAACGAGATCCTTTATCCACCCCTAAAACAAGAACAAGTTCAGGTGCTGATTGAGAAGTATGAACCCAACAGCAACCTAGCAAAGAAAGGTCAGTGCTTCTTATACTCTTGCTATACTTGGATTCTGGTTTCAAACAGTAACCCAGTTATCCTACAGCACGTGCTAAAGGAAAATTGGGTTCCAAATCCAATTGCATTTCCAACTGTCTGCGGGTTGGATCATACAGGCCCAGGAGACATCCTGTGGTGTGTTTAGGTGTGTTTGGTTGGGTTCAGTTTAGAAAGGATGGGGCTGGTTTCAGTATGTGCTTTTCAATGTATATCACTGATAGAACAGTTGTCCTGCTATGTGACCTCCAGCAGAAACCTTGCTGTTTACCAGCAGCTGAAATGCAAAATTGAAAGAAGCAATCAGGGACAGTCAAACTAAGCCCATGATAATTCTGTAATTTAATCACAGTATTAAGCCTAGCCCTCTGCTTTTGGATGAAGTGGTGTACAGAGTGAGATGTGGGATCAGCTCAGTGTATTTTGTGCTGTAATTCCCTCTTGAACATCTCAGGTGTTGTCAGGGCTTAACTGGGCATTTTGCCAGAAGCAGGGAGAAAATTCCTGCTCAAATCTCTGCAGATGTTTGCTACCACCACAAGCCTTAAAATAGCATTCAGTTTGTGTCTGCATCCTGATTCATCCCAACCCACATATCCTAATGGTTACCCCAGCTTTTAATGTGTTTGCCCCTTACAAAATTTAGGGGCTTGGGAATATCCTACAGAACGGATCTAACATGGCAAAAAACGGTTTGGTCCAGAGACTGGGGATCCAGAGGCCACACAAAGACATCCTTCCCAAAAGTCTCGAGGTTCCCTGAAGGCACTCCAGCCCCTGTCCCTGGAAGCCTTCTGACCTTGGCATCTTCCTGAGGGAAACCCAGAGCTCTCGATGCCGTGGTCAGTGCTGTCTCTCGGACACTTCTGATTTTTCTCATAAGGCTTCTTATTTCTTCTTCGATCCAACTTGGTGTTCCCAGAGGTTTTGCTGGAGGGTTAAATCCTGCTTCTTCATCGTAGTCATGCAAACTTGCCTTTTGACGTCAGTAGGAACACGAGCAAATGAAAACACTTTGTGACCTCCTTTCTCATCTGGGCAAATATTAGAACAGTCCTCTGTGCTTACCTTTTTCCACATCAGTCACAGGAAAGTCTGTTACCTAAAAGATCATTGTTCTTACCCAAATATTGGCACTTCATACAAATCAAACAAAGGATTTATTAGAAGGAGGAGTGCTAGCAGAACACCAGAGCCAAAATGAAATCACCCCCTGACTAGCAATAAGGAGGAACTGAATTTAACCAAGGGGAAGGCAGGTCAGAGAGAGTTAATTCCTCTTGTGGGATTGTGGGGGTTTTTTTTTCCCCACTTCAGACTTGTGCTCTGAGGTCCAGCTGGCACAGCCTGAGAGCCACCTCTGTGCTGAAGATGCCACCTCATGTAACGCCCTGTCTGGCAGCTGAGCTGTAGCAATTGGCACACGCTCCAGTGCAAATCTCCCAGGCTTACTGCCTTAAAATGACAGGAATTGGCTAATCAGGAATGACATGGGGACACAATATTTTCTGTACATCTGCTCCGAGTCGGGAATGCAATGCGCTGTATATTAAATGAAGTGTAGGTGTGCACTCAATCCTACACTCATAGAATAATTGCCAAAAAAGTGCTTCATGTCTATAAAATGTCACCAAAATGTAACTGGATATTTAAAACAATTATTTAACCTTCTAATACGGTGTTCTGTAAAGGGGATTGTCACTCAGGCTTTCTGCTGTCAGAAGGGACCATTCCCAGGGTTGTTGAAGTAGAATTTCCAGGCAGTTCTTGGCCAGAAGCACTAACAGAGGTACCAGGGCAACTTCTGAGAGTGTGATGCATGTGCTTCTTAGCAAATAAATTTTATGCCTTGAAAAGTTCTTTCAAATAGAAGCAGGGATTTTCCCTTGAAAATACAAATCCAAGGAGATAAAATGGAAACAACGTGCCTTTGTACAGCACCCGAGTCCTTGCTCCCCATACCCTGCTTGGACAGTTGTGGACCTTGAGTTGTCTGATGGTTATTCCTTCCAGTTTCCTGTCTGAGTTCATTCTCTGTGCACAACCACCGTACAACAATATTCCCTTTTAATTATTCTCTCAGAGCTAATTAGATTAATTCCTAGTGACCAGTTGTACTGTCTGTCAGCTGTTCCCAGCACTGTTCAAACTCTTTTGACATCTCAGAGTTTCCCTGATCACCATTGTGACCCTTTTGTTGTACCTGATGATGTTTAACTACAATATTTGGAGCAAGCAAGAGCTGTCCATAATATTTTAGACTTTTCCAGCGTGGCTTCTCGGGTGCCTGGTAAAACCAGGAGATCTGAGTAAAAAGGCTGCCCCTGTTCCTGCTTGTCACTGATGAGTTTTTGTGTGTATTTATTGCTGGGATGCAACTGGGTTTTTGCAAAATCAGTAGATATGCGGGCTTGACATGTGCAAAGGTTAAGCATGTGGAGTAATATTCTACTGTGGTGATTAATGCTTTGTGTCGTACAGCCAAGGAGAGGAATTCAGTGTTCCCTTATCAGGTGGGAGCAGGAGGAAGTCCCTGGTGCTGCTGAACAGTCTCTCACTGTCAACAGAAGTGTTCTGGGGGGCTGTCAGGGCTGGTGAGGTGCCGTGTTGGAGTTTGGTGTTTTCAGGCTGTAAAGATTTGCAGTGGGTGTCTGGCACAGCTGCTAAATATGTTCCCTTTCACGTTGCCATGTTGATAGCAGGATGCGTGTCAATAAATCGATTGCCAGGGGAGTTATTGGGAATTTCCTGATTTGCTTTTGTTTAACTCTTTGATTTATTTGTATTTAAAGGCTTGTATCAAAGTAAATTGTTCAGGGCCTTGTTACATTATGGATGGGAGAGAGGACGTTGGTGCCAAGTTTCAGATGTCTCTGCTTGCAGTGTCCGGGGTCTTTATGGAATAAGCTTTAAAAATAGAGTCTGGGAGTGCTGGGGAGATTTTTCCTGCACACCAGATTGCACTTGTTAGAAGGCATCTTTGAGATAAGTAATGGCATAAAGTTGCTAATTTTTTTTTTTCTCTTAAGAATGCATTAATTTAAAAACTGCCTCTGCTTATTTAATTTTAAAGGGCCAAACCTTTAGCTCTGCACAGAGGAAAATAACTTTGCTCTTGTATTTCAGTAGTTTTCTCTCCAGGTTTTCTGAACTGTACCTGTTTGCTCTGTGTCAGTGTTGGTTAGACATGCATTGAGAAGGACCTAGGGTAGTTCCAGACTCCCTTTGAATTCCAGTATTAATTCTGCTTTGCAGTGCACATTTATTGGTGGCTGTTGTGCTTTCTTCTTCTTAGGTAATAAAATAAACTAAGCAATTAACACTAGATTAAGATGTCATTTTATACAGCATTTGCTGTATGTATTTTTCCCATGGCAGCCTTAACACCAGGCAGTGTTCACTTCAGCACAAATGCGGTTTTCCTCCCTTAAACGTCAGTACAATTCAAACCTTTTCATCCCACTGCATTAAATTTACCTTTTAGTAACTGATTAAGAAAACTACGCATTGGAGTCTTTTAATGGCAGAAGGGGGTCATTTCCTAGGCAACAGATTTTAATGGGAAAAACAAGTACCGTGCAACCATGGCTGTACTTTTAAGGCATAGCTCACAATCTCTAAATTCTGGTGTAGAAATCATTCAGGCACACGGTAGAGGTTTCTGGCAGGAAACATTTGAGTTACAAATGTTACAGAAGTGTTACAAAACGGCTGAAATTCTTTGCCTTCCGAACTCCAGCTCTACAAATTAAGAGCACTTACCAAAAAACCCGTTGAGAGTTAACAGTTAACTGGAGTGTTTTCCAGCATTCCAACTGTACAAGAGGAGAGCACTCAGCAGCGTTTCTCAGTCTCAAATGATGACAGAACAATAGATCCCACTCAGGATTTATTACTCCTTAAAATGCTGAAGCCACACCAAAGTCATAGACTATCCCATGCTCTCAGCTCCAAGTGCTAAGCTAGGTAGCTTACCAGAAAGCTTTTTTTTATACTATTTTAAAATATATGTATATATGTGCAGCAAATGTAAGTATAGATAATGTATCAGCATAAATAACTTTGACTCTACTTGTCAAAATGAGTTTGCAAAACACGTTTCTGTAATACACTGTATTTTCTTTTTAGGAGTTTGGTTTTTAGGTACTAGTTAAGCTGTGAAACTAGTTTCAGATTAATTTTCTGCAATTCTTTGGAAGGCTTCATCTCAAGTAAAAGACTAAATGTTGTAAAAATCTTTAGAGTGTGAAGTCCTCAATTATGAGGATTTTTTGCATCTACTCTACAGGTAAAGTGCATCATTTTCTTAACTTACCTGTAAGAACTTGACAGCAAAAGGAACCAGTGATGAGGACTGGTAAGAGTGGGTTTTGCAACAGTAAACACAGACATGGACTATCTGGCTTAGCAAAATATCAGAAGTTTTAACCTTTTATTCTTTGGTTGCGTTTTAAAAGTGTAGGGACTGGCTTGGATCCCAGCCCCGTGTGCTAACACAGAGTTGGGTTTTGCTGGTGGCAGTGGAGTTAATGAAAATACCAGAAATATATTTAGGGCTCCAGGCAGGGCAGGTCTCCCAGTCTCTTGTGTATGGTACAGCTCCTTTGGAAGAAGCAGGAGCTCAGCAGAAATGTGTGTTGAGACTGGTGTGTGGTGCCAGGAGTAGCTCCACTGAGAGCAGTGGAACGGTGCTGACTGTAAAACGGCAGAATCGATGTCTCCAGAGCTGAGAGCATCAACTAATCCTGAGGGTGTGAGTCCAGCAGTCAGCCCAGACCTGGGCTGTCACATGTGGCAGCTGACCACACCAGGGACTCTTGTCCCACACTCTGGAGCATGGAGGGACCACCTGCTGGATCAGACCCTACAGGCAGAGTTGAACCCTGTGTGCTGGCACTGAGAATGGCTGAAAGGACCACAGAGCAAAGGTGAGCAGAGGTTTTGGGGCTGCATCATTCCCTTCAACTTCTGCTCAGAGATA